TATATATATAGTTTTTAACTTTTAATGTGTTAATGTTTTTCGATGTAGTTTGAAGGCAAACTCTTTCAGAGAGGCTTTGCATTTACCGGGCACTTATGGTCACTTGTATTTACTGAATTTTTGGCTAGAAGATTTTGTAACTACCTAGGTAGTAGAAATTAAGGCAACAAGCCTGGCTAAAGTCTGAATTATTAAGAGACATATTTTCTCTTTTATGTATCATCAAGTTTTAAGGCAGGGATTTATTTCATAAGGGCCTCTAAAGGGGATGTTTATATCTAATTCATGCTACAAACAGTCAGTCAATATAGTCATTGTAATTGAAACTTTATGCTGCCAGTCTCTCTTCTCCTGGCTGTTTTTTTTTGTTTTTGGTCTTTTATCTTTATGCCTTAAGCAGCCATAAAACACAAGCCAAAGATCACACTCTCCAGGGTTCACCTCTGGTTGTCTTTCTGGCTTTCCATCTTCAGCCTCTGATTGGTTCTTACTTTCTTGCTTAGTTATCAGAGCCTTTATAAAGACTTTTTGCAAATTTTAGTGACCATTTCAAAGTATTTTCAGGTAGATGTTCAGTTAAGGTGTTTAGTTTGCCATAATACTGAAAATATAAATCCTGTGGTTTACACACAGAAAGAAGAAAAAAGATAGAACTGGATTAGAAAAATTAACTGAGAAATGATGCATGTAATATTGTAAGAAAAAACATACAAGGATAAATTAATTATCTCTTAGTCATAAAGACCTGGAGAAAATGGGAGATCCTGACATTTACAATTTCCCTAATGGGGAGTAAAGAGAGAGAGGAAACAAGATTTTGTGATAGGCAGTTTCCTGCTCAAGTTGGCATTTTTCGCTAAAGATGGAGTTGTGCTTTCCAGAAGAAATTTTAGAATAGAAAGAAACGATAGAGCAGTTTTAGAGTGAATATAATTTCATTGATATATTCAAACTAAGACTATTTTAACTTTCTGTTCTTCTACCTTGTCCCCAGTCAAAATACTAAGACTCCAACCCCTTTACACATGGAAAGTAAGGGATTATGTATTTGTTGCATACATGCTGGTACAAATAAAATTATCAAGGGTGAATTATATTTTTGAGGACAAAAACACGCATTGGGCTCTAAGTTCACATCTTTAGTTCCCAAGGCAAACAGAAGAGTTGAGCTATGATTTGTGAGAAAGCAGAAGCAGCATGAAGCATACCTTTGGAGCAAACTTTGCTCTTTGGAAGAGCCTCATGGACTTGCCTCTGTAATCCCTGATGAAAAGCAGGGAGCCACGCACACGCCTTGCATTTTCCTGGTGGACTTTTCTCTTAGCGTCAGCGAGAAGCTATGTGAGCACAAATAGACCAGAGGCATGTAAAAAGAAAGTTGAATGGGAGTTTCACTTTGCTTAATTTTGCTTATGTGTTACATATTTTTCTTGTATGTATGACCACCTGCTATGTATCGATATTTAACTCTGTTGGTTTACAAGAGGTTTATGTCATGAGTTTTGCCTTATAGAGCTTATAATCAACTTGAGAAAACAAAGTATAAAAATATGTGATTGTAACAGTTTAGGAATAATTAAATGCTTAACCTGTAAGTGCAATAAGAGTGCAGAGAAGGCTGAGCTTTGTGTGAGGTTGACTGGGATGAGGTTTCTTAGAACAAATGGAACTTCACCTGGGGATATGGAAAGTTTGAGGCAGGACAGGGGTTAACATACACTCTATGGTATGTCAGGGCATGGGAATGGCAGAAAGAAATAGGTGCAAATAGGTAACCATGCTTATAAAAGGAGAAAGAAATATGAAAACCAAGATTAGGAGTAGGTTTTAATCACACAATAGAAATCTTAGAAACCATGGGAGAAAGTTTTATTATATTACAGTTATTATATTATACATAGTAGACGATATGAAGCTATTGAAGATTCTTGGGCAGAGGGCTGACATGTTAAATATGATCAAAGTTTAGCTTCATCAGGATATGTGGATGTATAGGATAAACTCAGCATTGGAACTGGGAATATATTTGGTTATTAGTAGTACTCTATTTGTTTATATAAAATTAAATATATAATATTATAAATATAAAATACTAATGCATATAAATATATACATACTTTTGTTTTAGAGGAATTCCAGGGAAGAAATGTGGTACTATCATACTTACAGCTGAGGAATTAAACTGTTGCAGGGTAAGTAAATATTTCTTTGGTTGAAATAGCATTTCCAACCCTTCTTTAAAATTATATTTCTGAAAATCTACATGAATTCTTGAGTAATTTTAACAAAATATAATTGAAACTATTTATTAAATAATTCTGTAACTCATGAAATATCACTTTAAATACTTAGTACTTTAACCAGAGAGACTACATTCTATAGTCCAAAAAGAAGAATCGGTTATTTTAATGATCTTTTGATAGAATAGAAAATTTCCAAATAAAAGCTAATGACATTATCATTTGGGGGGCATTAATATAAGGAATTGTCAGTTGTACCAGTCAGTCCAGTTCTTGGAAAAATTGTGAAGATTCATGTGTGATTTTGAAGGAATATTTCTAGTCATTTGACTTCAGCTCTTTTGTACAACATACGTTTTTCAATATTTTGAATTGAATTAATTCAAAATATATATATAGAGTCCCATCTTCTGTTAGCTTGGGGAGTCCATCTTTGAAGGCAGGACCGGCTACCCCTTCAGCTAGGAACATGATGATGTGAAGTGCGCAGTCAGTATTTTGAGAAAACTGCTATTTTTAGTCATGATTTGCTGGTACAGCCATTGACTCATGTTCAGTGATTTCATCGTTGTTGAGATGAGCTGGAAGGAACGATGGCTGTCTGAATCACAAGTCAGTACTGTCTGTTCAGTGTGGCTCAGTGGGTTCCTGGGAATTGTTATTTCTGGGGGAAATAAATTTTATCTCATTGCTCTTTATTTGCAATGTTTGCTTCATGATTTAAGGAACATGAGCTCCCAAAGGTACCAAAACTTAATACTTTGACATTGGCCATAGTTTTCATACAGAGAGCTACCATTTATTAACTGAGTTTTTAACTTTAATCTCCGAAGTTTTTTTTAAAGATAGTCACTATGTTTTTATATACATATGTATGTATATAAATGCAATATGGTTAGAAAAACATAATATTACTTGCCAGCAAAGGATGGAAACTGAGCATTTCAATTGATTATATACCGTGGGAATTTTGGGGGTTGGAGTAGTGAAATAACAAAAGGAAAGCATAGTAAGAGGCTTGTGGAGATAGTTAAACAAGAATATTAGAATTTAAGCAGTTAAAAATGCGTTCCAATTGAGGCCGTCTGGTTCATTTTCCTCCCATTGTCTTTACCCCTGGGCACGTCACCGCCATCCCAGTCTCAGTTTTCTCAGGTGTAAAATGCCAGAAACTACTTACAGTATAATGCTGCTAAAGACCGTCACACTGAGCTGAGTTTGGTTTTGCAAGTAATTTGTACTTTGGCTTGTTAAGTCATTTGATTGCTCTGAGTTTTACTTTCCATATTTGAAGGGGGGAAAAACAGCAAACGTGACTGCTCACTAGAATATTTTTAAAAATTCCCCCACCTCTGAAAATTGGCTACCATATCATTAAATCTGAAAATATGCTGTATATGAAAGCATTTTATGTATATTAAAATACCTTACAAAAATATTACAATTATTTAAATACAGAAATGATGCCCACCATCCTATTTTTCAGTTAAACTGGTACAATGATTTCTTTTTTAAAAATATATCTTTATTGATTTCAGAGAGAGGAAGGGAGAGGGAGAGAGAGAGAAACATCAGTGATGAGAGAGTCATTGATCGGCTGCCTCCTGCACGCCCCCGACTGGGGATCGGGCTGCAACCCGGGCATGTGCCCTGACCGGGAATCGAACCCCGATCGCCTGGATCCTAGGTTGGTGCTCAACCGCTGAGCCACGCCCGGCCGGGCACAATGATTTCTTTTAATGGTAACATCTAATCATCTATTAACACTTCTTGTCTCTGAATTTGTTTATGTGTGTGATGATAAGAGTAGAGTTTTGTATGATGAGGGGGGAAGGAGAAAAAAAGTTCCAGGTCAGTAAGATACATATTCTTTTTTTTTTTTTAAAATATGTCTTTATTGATTTCAGAGAGAGGAAAGGAGAGGGAGAGAGAGAGAAATATCAATGCTGAGAGAGTCATTGATCAAGCCCGCAACCGGGCATGTGCCCTGACCGGGAATTGAACCCCGATCGCCTGGATCCTAGGTGGACGCTCAGCCACTGAGCCACGCCCGGCCGGGCAAGATATATGTTCTTTAGAGTGACATTAACATGCTAGCTTGTCAAAATCTGATATTAAGGTGATTTTGTGTAAATATGCCAATGAACACATTATTATTCATCTGTTTCAAAAGAAAACCAAGATACAGGGCATATATTGAGTATGGCCAGGTTGCATCTCATATTTCTTCCACTTTCAATTCTATGATTTTGGTTGGAAAACAGGAACATTCTTCTAAATCTTCCATGTAAATGAAGTTGAATCTGTTATTTAGTGATCTAGAGCCACTTTTACCACTTTCTACGACTAAAGCTTTAAGAACATCTGGAGTTATCTTTCAGTAAGTAAACACATACTCTTATACTTAGAAATTAGAGATCTCATAGTTTAAAAATATTGTTTAGACTCTTAATTTAACTTCATCTTATATGTTCTGTGTTCTGATTCTTAGCTACAGCCTTATTGATAATCAACATCATTATTAATGTGTATAAACCCTGAGATAACGTTTCATTACTATGCCAGTATAATAGAAGGAACAACTATATTCAAAGAAATGTTCTCAGTTACTTCAGAAGAGACAATGCCTTTTCAATTTACATTTTAGGATACTTTAAAAAATATTTAGAATTTTGAATGAAATAATTTTATTTCACATTTCACACTCTACGAATTGACATTTTGGTTTTTCTTTTCTTTTAAACACATTGTCAGTCATTCACTTGAGGATAAGCTTTGGAGTCAGGACACCTGAATTTCTGTCTTATCTTTCACTGATCAGCAAAGTTATGTTCTTGGAGCTTTCATTTCTGCATTTGTAAAATGCTAATTTTAAAAAATTTTGAAAAATTCTTTTCAGAGAAAGGAAGGCAGAGGGAGATAGAAACATCAATGATGAGAGAGAGTCATTGATCGGCTGCCTCCTGCATGTGCCCTACTGGGGATCGAACTGTCACCTCCTGGTTCATAGGTCGATGCTCAACCACTGAGCCACATAGGCCAGGCCGATATTCTTTTTTTTAATTTAATTTTTAAAAAATTTTAATTACAGTTTACACTCAGTGTTATTTTGTATTAGTTTCAGATATACAGCAAAGTTGTTAAAAATGCCGATATTCTTAATACTGCCCCCAGATGGTTCCTCTGCAGGAAAAAAAAAGCATCATTTGAGTGATGTGTAAATCATAGCTTACAAGTAGCTTGAAATTATCCACAAAGAACATTTTTCATTCTGATTGATTGATTCAACAATATTGTACAAATGTGCTAGTCTCAGAAATGGATGCTTGGATACGATGGTGAGAAAAAAACACAACAAATAACTTTGGACCTTGTCTTTAATGAACACATAGTTTGTGGGAAATACAGACACTAATCAGATGACTCTGCAGGTAAATATTTCATGATACGTACTAAGTGATCAGATATATCATGAGAGGAACCATGGAAAATCTAAGTAATTTATATGGGGCGAGGGTGTCGTGCAGGCCTCTGAAAAAATGACATTTAAGCTAAACCCTGAGGAATGGTTTGCCAGCCGCAGGTAAGAATTCCTGCAGCGTGCACAGCTTGTGGAAGGTCCTAAGGAGGGAGAGGACTGTGTCTGATATTTGATGACAAGGGCCTAGGAGTGGGGGATGATTGAGGTAAAATGTTGCCAGATGAAGGTAGATTCTGTTTATCTGAAATACAGGAGAAAGCCCTGAGGCGTTTTAATAATAATGTACAGCATTATTTCTTTCATGTTTTAAGACCATTGCTGAATGGAGAATGGATTGGTCAGGTCCAAGAGAGGAAGAGGGAGAAAGGAATAAATGCCAGTGTACATGCCCAGGTGGGAGAGGAGTTGGCCTGGACTAGAGTGGGGCCAGTGTAGCAGACGTGAACATCTCAGGGATGGTTAGACTCAGAGTGGTGCAAGCTGGCGAAGAATTGCGTGGAGAGAAAGGAAACAGGAGAGATCGAGAACAGCTCCTTGGTCACTTGGGTGGATGGCGAGCCACTAAATGAGCTGGGAAAATTATAGGAGAAGCAAGTTAGATTTGAACTTGTTCAAAGTGCCTGGGAAATATTCAAGTGGATTTCTTCAGTAGGAAGTTTGTTATACCGGTGTGGAATATTGAAAAAGGTTTAAAAATTTTCTCAAGTGTCATTAAGCATCAGAGATTTAAAAAAACCACACCTCTGCAATCCCTTTATATTTCTGAAAAGAAATAAATGCTTGATTTTTTCCCTTAGAAATTAGATATATTTCGTGCTTGTTACAGATGAAACCCCTGCTATGTTATTAACCTGGATAATAGCAAAATATATTTTTCCTAAATTTATATAATTTGGTACATTGAAAGAAATCTTTATTTTGAATTGGTTACTCATTTTGCAAGCCTTAAGGAATATAATTTGAAAAATTATAACTTGGTATTAAATTTACCAATGATCATATGACAATTTATTTTTTAATAATTTATCTCTTTGAAGTTTAATTCACAGTTTGACATATACACATTTTACTGATCTATTTTAAGTATGTCAGAATGTTTTGGGGAGTTTTTGTTTTGATTCAGGTGCTTTGGGAGAATGTCTTCAAGGGGCTATTTTTTTCCCCTATGGCAAGAACTATGTCCTTGTCCATGTTCTTAGAAAACCACTCTCTATGGTTTTGTTTTTTTAAATTTGTGCCCAAGGGCATTTAATATGTAGGAAGGTGAAAGGGCATTCAAAACAAATAAAACTAAACTAAAAGCTCCAGCCCTTTCTTCTCAATTCGACCTTGATTTTATAGTTTGATCATCCAGGTGATTCTCTCACTCCTTCCTTAATGGATAATATAAATTTTTGATCTTTAAATCTTAGGTTTGAAAAGTGATCATGGTTGAGAAGCTTGAGTTATTAATGATGTTCATGTTGCTCTTACCTATGTTCCCCTTGTAATTTTCCTTAAATTTGTATTGTAACTATGCCTGCTTGGACGCATAGTGTCTGCTCTAATATGAGTATTTCTCTGGCAGAAAGTATCACATCTGTATTCTAAATAACAAAGTAAAATGACACTCTACCAGTACTTTTGAAAATGAGAAATCTAGACCTATGAACTTCTCTGAGTATTGCTTGAGAAATATTTGCTAAGCAAGTATATCAATGAATGAATGGGAACCAGATAACATCATCTTGTGTATAGTGTTCTGGAATTACTGAAAGAAAACAATGAGAATTGTTAGGTGGATGCTTAATAAATGTTGCTGGACTCTGCAAAGAAGTGGTGAATAAGGGTGCCTTTCTAGTCATTGTCAACATTTTCATCAAATAGTATTTATTTAAAACTGTGACCTCTTCATTTAGTCTGAATTATGTTGACCCTCTACCTCTTTCCAAAATTGCTAACATCTCCTTTCAGTTAAAAAAGCAAACAAACCAAAATGGTAATTTTATTGTTCAAATTGCTACATATTTTCTACTTTATTAAAAAACTTATCCTTCCTAATTGAGTAATGTTCTACATCCTTGATTTATGATACCGCAGTTTGTTTAACTTTAAGCTAAATCATGTAGATTATGAATCCTTGAGTGTATAAATTGATAAAATGATTGCTTTGGCATAGTAATTAACACACCAATGTTTAAATTACAAATGAAAAGAAAGGTGCTTTGCTTTTCTTGAGGTCCAATGTAATAGAAATTATTTTAAATGTAGTTGTTGAGACATTGTGGAGCACTTGTGTATAATTAAGAAAGAACCTTTTTTCCCCTCTAACGGTAAACNAAATTATTTTAAATGTAGTTGTTGAGACATTGTGGAGCACTTGTGTATAAAGAAAGAACCTTTTTTCCCCTCTAATGGTAAATNCCTTTTTTCCCCTCTAACGGTAAACTGTGTGGTCAGAGTCTGTTCCTCATCTAATTATCTAATATATCTTAACAGCTAAAACATGATAGATACTTAGTAGATGCTTAGTAAATATTTCCTCAGGAATTAAAAAAAATGCTTATGTTCTAAAAATGTGTACTTGAATAACTGAAGATATGAATGAAGAGTCATCTAGCTCAATATAACTTTTTAGGGGAAGAATGTTACAGATTTTTAAAAAGTTATAGTTTTGTGAGTAGGACGAACACAAAGGCAAGTTTTTAGTCTCACTGTCCCTTAAAACGCAATTTATGTTGCCTGGGATTCTCACACACTTGGCCATTTGCATTAAAATGGCAAATTTGCTTTCTTCTCAAGTCTTGCTAGTGATCTCCAGTTTCTAGTTATGTATAACCCAGATTTTGAGCTATTTTGTTAATTTTGTTTTCAGGATGCTGTTCTGATGCAATTTTGTGCTAACAAATTGGACAAGAAGGACTTCTTTGGGAAATCGGACCCTTTTCTTGTATTTTATCGAAGTAATGAAGATGGCAGGTAGATTTATATTTTATGCATTTTAACCCTATAGTAAGGATGATATTTGAATTATCTCAGAGAAGTTCATTAAATTGATAAACAGAGTAAAATATTTTCGTATTTTAAAAATTGATGTGATTTTTACATCTCAATAACAATGCATAACTTTCTAAGCATTTCATATGCTCTGTTTGGTATTTAAAATGAATGATTTTCAGCTTCATGGAAACATTTCTTCTTTACTTCTTATAAAATTATAATGTTGCCTTAATAGTATGGAAGAATTATATTTTTGTGGACATCTAATGTATTTTGTTATAGACTTTAATTATTTTCTTGGAGAAGGATATGAACGTTAAGGGGTTGATTTTCTTTTTTTATGCTACAGTTTATGAATATCTAACATTCAATAAAATTTTTTTACATTCTAGTAATTTGAATATTTTTACCAGTCATGATTAGACTGGTTTCTATTTGGTTTGAAAATGTATCCATAGGTTATAGAATATAATTTAATACATATGATCCTACCACTAAATATATTTTATTGTTTTCTTTATATTGTAATGTCAGCATTCATGGGAAACTTTAGTGGTTAAAATTATGGGTGAAGTTTTTGTTGCTGTTGTTTAAATCATGACACTGCTACTTAGTAGCTATGGAAATCATAGGCAAGTTTTTAAAGCCATATTAAACTCAGTTTCCTCATCTGTAACTGAACTCATAATCATAGCTTCTTCATAGTGCTGTTGAGAGTATTACATGGGTTACTATGCAAAAAACATTTAGAACTTGCCTATTGTTTTCCTTAACTGTGCATAATAAAATATTAGCTAAAGAGAAAACATCAGTTAGAGATTAAAAGTGAGAGAACTGGAATGAAAATTTAAAAAAACCTGTCACTACTGCTAGATTTATAAATAAAGTTATGTAACATATCGTAAGTACATAAAATGTTACATAAAAATAAAAAGTGTGCTATATAAAATGAATGCACTGGGCAGTAGAAATGACACTTTACTTTGGGATTTTTTTGATGCAGCTACTGGGCAATTACTATTTTAGTCATAGTGTTGTATTATTGGGTTTTGCATACTTCCCTTCTGTTTTGGTAGTTAAAATGTCAGAGTAGCATTTGTATCTGAACACTGACTTTATCCATGTGAAGAATATTGGAACAATGAAGAAAATAATCATTTTTGCCAGTCATTTCAAATTTAGAGAAAAACTAAAGAATGAGCTAATAATTTCTTGAATCACAATGATCTTATGCCTCCTCCTGTCTGAACTACTTGTTTCCTGAATTTTCTATTTTAATACTTCTAGTTTTCTTTATTCATAAAGATTAGGTATATTTTTCAGCCTATCACACATTTAATGCTACTGGTTCAGAGTTACATTGCAGAAATTTATGCTTGTCTGAATGATAACTCATTCATTAAATACAATCTAAATGTTAAGGAATTAAAGTACAACTAATCCAAAAATCGCCAATTATTTAAAAAACAATTATTACTCACATTTGGTTAATCTAATTTCAGAAAATTTTCCACATATATTTACACACATAAAACTAGTTCACCAGCTAGAAACAAGTATGTGTACTAAGACATATTTATTAACACTCCATTAATATACATATTTTGTTTTAAATAAATAAAAATGCATTTACTCCTCACTTTTTATGTGTGTCTCTTTTTCTGACTGCGAATATTTTAGTCTTATTTTTAGCATTTATTTGAATATGGAGCTATTTCAAAAATTGCCTGTTCCCTAGTGTGTTTGAGGCTCATTTTATAGGAAAGAGTAAAACTAAATTTCCACCAGAAGCATTAATAAAAACCTTAATAATATATGGTTATACATTTTTATTTTCTGCTTTCACATTAATTTGGTACTTGTTCTGTATTTATAATTAGGTAATAATTTTCCTTTGGAATTGCTGCTTTTTGGTAAATGGCTTCATTTAAAGTATTTTAATACATGTTATTTAATGATTTTTTTATAATACTATCTATAGTGCGTCCACACACATTATATTTGTAAAACAGTACTCCTGAATGTTAGAAAGAGCTACATCAGACTCCTGTCAACATTTTCATTATTTACACTAGCACTGGAATTTCTAGTGAGATTTTGCTGTCTGTATCACATCTCATGCATTACAACCGAGAATGATTAATACAAGACAGATGACTATGTGGCTTATAAATAGCTCATGAAGAAGATGGGTCACTGTCTTAAATTAAGTTTCAGGTGTCACAGTATTTAATCACTATGGCTGGTGCTACTAAAACTAGAACAGAAGTTTTGATTTAACCATAAGCAAAGAGACCAAAAAGGAGTCAGATTGTTGAGTATGTAGGCTTGGAGATGGTCAGTTAGTTGCTCTATCTATTTATCTGTCTATCATCTATCTATATCATCTATCTATCAACTATCATCTACCATCTATCTATCATCTATCATCTATTATCTGTCATCTGTCTCCATCCATGAATCCATCCCCATACCAAATACTTAGAACATACTAGAATATGATACAAGAGAAGAAGAGAAAGCCCCTTTGTAGATCTTTAAGAATGTATCATATTAAGAAGAAAGGCAGATGTCTCTTTCTAAAACAAAACAATATATCTAATTTTGTCCCTAAGTTTTTCATAGCCATTTTTTCTATACCTTTGCTTATTCTCATTTGAGTCCCTGTTTTTCTCCTGCTTACCTCTCCCTTATGCCTTTTGCTTTTCTTCCCTCTGCTTCAGATGCCTTGATTATACCTTTCTGAGTCTGCTCTATCTTTTTTCTTTTTCATTCAATTAATTGGGGCGACATTGGTTAATAGGATATATAGGTTTCAAGTGTACATTTCTATGATACAACATCTGTGTATTGCACTGTGTGCCCACCACTCAAAGTCAGATCATCTTCTGTCATCATATATTACGACCCTTTTCACCCCCCATCCACCACCCCTTCCCTGTGGCAACCACCACACTGCTGTTTGTGTTCACGTGTTTCAGCTTTATATCCCACACATGAGTGAAATCATATGGTTTTTAGCATTTTCTGGATGACTTATTTCACTTAGCGTAATATTCTCAAGGTCTGTCCGTGCTATGGCAAATGGCAGTGTTTCATTCTTTCCTATGGCTGAGTAGTGTTCCATTGTGTACATGTGCCACATCTTCTCTATCCAGGCCTCTATCACAGGACGCTTTGGTTGTCTCCACGTCTTGGCCACCGTGAATAATGCTGCAGTGAACATAGGGGTACATATATTTAATAGTTTTTGTCCCTAGTGGTCCCTAAATTGCTTAAGTTAGTTGACTCTGAGAGCATTGACCACAGACCTCTTTCAATTTAGTAACATGAGTTTATTTAGATGGGTAAGGATACTACCAGGAAGGGGATGGCATATGCCACAATTCTTGTAATGAATACTTGATCTCTTAATATTTCTATTTGACACCTTAATAGAATCAAACCTTTCTTGCCTGAGAGGAAGGAAATGGACTCAAGGGCTTTTCCAAAGAGATTATTTTCCTGTGGGGGTTAAGTGCAGAATGTTCACTACAGTAATTCTGTAATATTCTCATTTTCGTGACTGTTAGAGAGAGGCCTGCATCTGGAATACTTCATGACTAAGGTCTTGGTGAGGACTGGGTTTATGTATTGTTCTAACCAAGAATGTTTTAAACATTTTATAGCTTGTGAACTGCTGCATAAATTCACATCAGGCATGAACATTTACAGGGCTCTATTAATGTCTGGATATTGAATGGTTTGGTGGAAACAACACTGGAATTTGAATCAGAAAACTGAGTTAAAGCCTCTGTGGATTCTACTCCTTCTTGTGTATTCCTGAGCTGCTATCTTCCTTCCCTCTAGGAATCCTTCAGATATATAGAACCAACAGTTTAGATAAAGAAGGAACCACATAAGGAGTGGTCTCACTAAAATTCATGATGTTAATTTTAAATAGGCCCTTGGGCTCCCCAGGAATCCTACTCTTTTTACTTAATCCATCAACTTTTCCTCTCTCCCAGACACTTTAGCACTTTGCCTTCTTTGCTATGATCATGTTTCTTATATCATAAGAAAACGGAAGCAATTGGAGAACATCCTCATGATCTCATCATAGCATCTGCCCTATGCTGTGATCTGTGGCTTCCTGAATGTTCCTGAAAAATGACTGTCAGTGCTCCCAAGGGCACCTCCTCCACTGATGCCCTGGACCCACTCTCATTGCCCTAAGGACTTTGCTCCAGCCTTTTCCCCCTTCCTCTCATGCATCACAGGTTGGTTCCTCTCAGGAGAGTTTCCTTTAGCATACAAGCTGTTGTTTCCTCCTTCTTGAAAAAGAAAATGAATTAAAAAGTAACAAAAAAAAACACCTTTCACTTGACTAATCTTTCCCCTTAAGCTACCCCCAATATATCCTTAAAGCTGAACTCCTCAAAAATGTTGTTTACACACTGTCCCTCAATTTCTGTTCTCCTTCTCAAGCCCACTCCAACTAGGTTTTTGCCCCCAACACCAACAAAACTGCTTTTCTCAGGGCTTGACGACCGTCACATGTTTAGTGACCTGTGGCTGTTTTCCACTGGACTAATAGGTCATCACAATTTTTAGAGATTGTTTATAAAGCAGCTTTAGAATATATTGATTTTGTAGAAGATCATTTGTAGTCAACTTTATTCAAAATCTTATTGCTTTATATTATAGTGAGCTGATCTTGCAAGCTTCAAAACCACAGCTCCCTTCTTGTTTAATGATATGGCAGCAACAAAGGGATTGACAACATTCATTCTGCACCAAAAAAAGGGAGAGAAATGGATACTAACCAACATATGATTGAATCATGAAAATAACTGTGGTTTTATTTTTGTTTTTTTTTTACAGTTTTACAATTTGTCATAAAACAGAAGTTGTCAAAAACACTCTCAATCCTGTATGGCAAGCATTCAAGATCTCCGTCAGGGCATTATGTAATGGCGATTACGACAGGTAAAATAAATGGCAACTTTCCTGAGAGCTTCAGTTATTCACTATAGATTCTGTATGCAATAATCCTAAATCGATTTTTAAAAAAAGTTAAGGTGGCTTCTTTACCAACGTGTGTATGCACAAAAGAATGAATAATTTATTTAGGATTTTTCTTTAAAACTTTTTTTTAATCCACAATAATTTGGCAGATTAAAATTGGTTAAGCCGACTGTTTTTCCAAGAACAAAAATGTAGAAAGTGCTAAAAAGATACGGAACATTAATTTAAGTTTTAACATATTACTACTCAAAAGTCATTCCATAATTTTTACTGCCTCGAGGCTTTTATTTGATATTGTCTTTCTAGGCTGGAATAAGTAAATATATGAAATATAAGACTTTGGCTAGATATACTGTCAACGCTGACGGATGCCTGAAAATGCTATTTGGCAGCCCTATTCTCACAGTTGCTGAAAAAGTTCTAGATCTATAAAAATTCTATAGATCTAGAACAGGGAGATTCTGGTGTTTTACAAGTAGGTCAGTATGGTGACCCTGAAGATCTTTCCACAATATACCTGAAAATTTCTTAATATCAAAGTTTTGTTTTGTTTTTTAATTAAAGTTGATTCTTAGGTTATAATATAAAAACCGCTATTCACCCCAAAAGAAAAGCAAATAAATAGAAAATAAAAACTCAGCCTCTTTATTTATTTTGTTACTTGTATATTAGAAAAATGGGAATTTATTCTATTAACTGATATCATAGAAGGAACTATTGATTACCAGTATGACATTATTTTTATTTTAAAACTTATCATGCCACTCGACTGTCTTTTCATTCATTTAATAGGATTTTAGCTTATTTTAACTGGTCTTTCTTTCTCTAAGAAAGTGGTTCTCATACTGTGGTTCAGCATCACCTGGTTAACCTTGTAGAAATTCGGGTTCTCAGGCCCCACCCAGGCCTCCTAACTCAGGAACTCTGGGAATGAGGTCCAGCAATCCATGTTTCGACAAGCCCTCCGTGGGATTCTGATCCCCGCTGGGATGAGAAATCCTGCTCTAACACAATGTCTTCAAGAGTAGAGAAGTAGCTGAATGCCTCCCTGTTAAGGGGGGAGCTCTGTCAAACTACACACATGTCTCCCCTATGCTTTCCCTACTCCCTTTAAAGAATCAATACAAGTTTTAGAAACCTCTGCTAAGATATAAATTGAATTTAGTAATACAATGATCAAAGTCAAGTTCAAATTACTTTATAAAACCTTCAGGCATACACTATTTTATCTAAAAAAGCTACAAGTTATTTTTAAATGCTCAATCATATATCATATTGATCTTAGTAAGTAACCTTGTGTGTATGTTTTCCCCCCTCCGGACAGAACAATCAAAGTAGAGGTATATGACTGGGATCGGGATGGGAGGTAAGACTTTGCCTCTTCTTTTATTCTTGCTCTTGAAACAGTATGCTTTAAGAAATGAGTATAATGAAATGACCGTATTTTTAAATTTTAATTTTGTCTTGTTTTTCCAAATATTACTGAAGTATTTACATGAGATTTTAAGAATGAGTGTATTTTCTTCAACTTGGAGATTAAAATAGAGGCCTTCCTTATTTCCAGTAACATAGAAAATTTGGATCTGATGATTTCTCATTGTATCCAACTTACAGCTGTCTAGTTTTATAGCTGTAGAGATTCTCATATTTCTGTGTCTCTCAATCTCTCCGAAGGTTCCTATACTCTTTATACCCTATATCATTCATGGGAACACACCTGAGTCTCCATCTCTTCTCCCCTCCCAAAAAAAGACATGCCCCACACAAACAAACAACAAAGTAAAACACTAGAATTACATTGGTGATTGCTGGTACAAATAGAGTTTCTGCAATTATGGTCTCCCTCTGTGTATCACAATAGATGTTAAAAAGAGGGACTGTCCCAAAGGGTAAGAGGGGAGGAGAGATTAACCAAAGAATTTATGTGCATAACTGCATAACCCAGGGGCACAGACCATAGTGTGGTGAAGGCCTGGGGTGGGGGTGGGTGCAGGGTAAGAGGGGTCAATGGGGAAAAAGGGGGACATCTATAATTCTTTTAACAATAAAGATTTAAAAAAAAATACTTTCTTCTTAAGTATTTTCCCGCTATTTCTACAGTTTTAAAGTAGGATTGATATTGAAGTGTTTTTAAATGATGTTAAAGCCAAGGTACCCAGAAATGCTCAAATCTCACCTTGGCCTGGATAACAGCCTCTTCCGGTGGTTCCAGGGACTGAACATACAGAGGCCAAGGAGAATGACAAATGGGAAAAGAAATGGCATTTAGTTTTACTTGGCTATATGCCCTAAACTCCAGCCCAGAGGTCACTGGTAAATGCTTCAGCATAAGGTTAAAGTTCAAGATCTAACACCTTTCTATGTGCATTATATGCAGGCCAACAGCCAAGCTCGAAGGGTTTGGATACCTGAACACCTCTGTTCATACAGGAGTAAACCTGAAGGGTTTGGATACCTGGGTACTCCTGTTAATACAGGAACAAGTTTGATCAAAAGGGTTGGCCTGGCCCAGCTGGTGTGGCTCAGTGATTGAGCGCTGACCCATAAACCAAGAGGTCCCCTGTTCGATTCCTGGTCAGGGCGCATGCCTGGGTTGCGGGCTTGATCCCCAGTAGGGGGCTTGCAGGAGGCAGCCCATCGATGTTCTTTTCTCATCAGTGTTTCCATCTCTCTATCCCTCTCCCTTCCTCTCAAAAAAAATCAATAAAAACATATTTAAAAAATACTGTCCTTTAAAAAAAAAGGACTGTCCTGTCTGAGGGGACACCTCTCCTCATCCCTTCTGCTGCTTGGATAAGAAAATGCCTAATTGGAGCACCTCGTGCAAGCATGTGTGTGCCATTTTCCCATATGCTCACACAAATGGTCCATTAGGTGTCCTGGAGTTTTAGCCCAGTTAATATTTTTTTCCTTCCTAAGGAGTGATAAGGGAGTGTGGGGAGAGAGGTAGAGATAATAGTCCACACTTCAGTAACTACCAAACAGATATATAAGACACAGTGATTTCAATCTTCAAGTTATATGCCAAACATGATTGTGCTAAAGTGCCTAACATTTTTTGGCGTTTACTCTTAGGGATCATCAATGCTGTTTCGCTGATCTTTACATTTCTGTTAGATTACCCATTTAATTATTTGTTTATTTAGGTTTTCTTTACACAAATTCTACATGCACTCTCTAGAAATCTCACGAGAAAACCATGTTTTCCATAGGGACTGATGCCTCATTGCTTCACTAAAGTTTATTCACTGAGAAAATGAGTTTTGCTCTTCAGAATAAATAGAAAAAGGAACAATGCCAATCTGAGTAAAGTAAGGCTTTCTGCCTTGTATCGTATACCCAGATGATATAAATTCATAGAGGGTAGCCCTGGCCGGTGTTGCTCGGTGGGTAGAGCGTGGGCCTGTGCACCAGAGTCGAGGGGTTGATTCCCGGTCAAGAGCATGTACCTCGGTTGCATATTCTCTCCAAGTTCCCGGTCGTGGCCCTATGGGAGGTAGGCAACCAATCAGTGTGTCTCTCACATTGGAAATGAATTATGATCAGTAGAATATTTAGAGCGAGGTATTGTGATTTCATAAGTGGTATAATAACTTCTTAATGTTAGGGTAAAGTGCTTTCTTTAATCCAAAATATAGATCTACATTTTGTATGAAAATTTCCAGTGTATAATTCTATGTAATCCATGTGCACTAAAGCTGCATTTTTCAAAATTATTAGTTTGTGGATGACATATGAAAAAGCAAAATTATTAGTTTGTGGATGACATATGAAAAAGCAAAATTAAGCCTGGCTGGTGTGGTTTAGTGGTTGAGCATCAACCTATAATTCAGGAGATTGCGGTTTGACTCCTGGTCAGGGCACATGCCCGGGTTGCAGGCTCGATCCCCTGCAGGGGGCGTGCAGGAGGCAGCTGGTCAATGACCCTCATCATTGATGTTTCCATCTCTCTCTCTCTCCCTCTCCCTTCCTGTCTCTGAAATCAATAAAGACTTTTTTTTTTAAAAAAAAGCAAAGTTAAAATGATTAATTATTGAAACCCTTTAAACTAAATAATATGTATGAAATTTAAAAAGCATATTAGTCTCCAATAAAAATGATGTCTAAAAGCTATAAAATCCAGATACTAGTTTTATAATGCAGTAATAATAGTTACTGTATAAACTGTTATACAACTTGATACTCTAGTTTGTGGTTATGTGTGGTATAATAACATAGGGTTATTATACATTTTCCATGCATTTTTATTTGACATAATTTTCCAAAGGCCATAATTTACCAAGTTCTTTTCTTAAATCAGAGTGAATATATTATACTCATTATATTTCATAATACAATGTAATTATCAGCAGAGATTATTTCCTATTCTTTGTTTGTTTTCCCATCATGTTTAATATTTGTCAAAACTCTTGTGCATGTATCACTCTTTTTATAAAAGATTATTAACTCAGTGGATTTTTTTGACAGTATAGACCATAATTTTCCAATGAAAATATAAGATGAATCACATATGTAATTTTAAATTTTCTAGTGGCAACATTAAAAAATAAAAATAAACCAGTGAAATTAATGTAAGGCTATATTTTGTTTAATCCTATATGTTCAAAATGGGGTCAACATAAAAATTATTGAGAAATTTTACCTTTTTTACACTAAGTTTTGAAATCTGGTGTGTATTTTATGCTTACAGCACAGCTCAATTCAGACTAGCTACATTTCAAGTAACCAGCCTATATCAACATATTGTTGGTGGCTACCATCTAGGACAACACCGTGTAGACTTTAATGGCATATGCAGTCTGCATCCTAAGTAACTTCATATCAGATGGAATGTTTTACCTGCATTTAACAGAAGTTTAGAATACTCCCCTTTTAAAACACAGAAAAACTGTTCAGATATCTGTATTATTTTGTGTATAAATTTAACCATAAGAAACCAAGAAATAACCTGATCTTTTAATCTAGAGAGAATATTTTGTTCAAGGATTTAAGTGGAAAATGCTTGACAGTGTTACTTGCTTACAATCACATTTTGTTTTAGCAGCTATGGTACTTCAGATAGTTGAGGTGATGATATTCACAGATTAGGAGCTTTCCAAATTGGTATGATCTTGAGCCACAATTCTGATGGTGTGTTTGACTCAAATCATCATCTTGGAATTATTTCTGAAGCGAACATCTTGCGCATCTATGAGGCGTACAAAAATGTGGTAATGCTGTTGAGCAAGTAACCAATTGATATGAAATCAGGCATCTTGCTTTGAGTTCATCTCGAATGGAAGAAATATAGTCACTTCTCCTCTTTTATTTCAACACATTAACAGTGGATTGAGAGTACAGAGGCATTACTTGACCTTGGTATGAATAATCAGTTTAAATGTACTTAATTTTCTACAAGTTAAACCACTTCACTTACATTGTCCCCATGATCCCCACCATTTCTTCAAGGAATGTGAGAAAAGAATATTTAAATCTCATTTTAACAGTTGAAAACTTGAAGTGCTGAGAAACTGACTAGTCTCGGTTACAAGGCAATCAGTGGAGGTATCCTTGAAAAGCTTCAGTTGATTGAAGGTGCTTCAGCTGACTTTTTGTAGCTTAAATTAAAATTCAGGGAGCATTAAAGTAACAGCTCTGCATTAAAACCATGGGGCTCTAATGTGGGCCTGATTGTTGATGGGGCACCGAGTGGATCGCTGGCTCCCAGGAAATGATGCTTCCATGAAAGAGCTCGGCCAGCGAACTGCTGTGATGTCTGCTGAATTGGGAGAGTAAAGGTTTCATTATCACTCCATAGTTTATCAAATCTAGCCATTTTGAATAGTAATACTCATAAATGAAGCAAACTTCACTTATCCTTGAAATGTGTACGGGTGCTATCATTTTTTAGTTACCTTTGAAGACAATATCTGATAAAGGCATTTGATATTTTGTTTCTGTCATTATGCATCATCATGGTTTGACATAAGTGAGTACTTGGAAATTGTCTAAGACATAACTCATTTAGAAGGAGCTTGTGTAAACCCTTTATCTTTTTTTTCATTTATTTTAAATTTCTAATTAATTCTTTCCTAATAATAGTCCTCTATTTGCTTACAGTTAACTGAGTGTCTTAAAAGCATTTTCAATAGGCAAAATTCAGCCCCTTGTTCTACTATCTATCACTTTTTCGAGACTTAAAAAATGCTGATAAATGAATTTCATAATGTGCATGTTACTTACTGACATACTATTTTTTCTTTTACCTATTGAAATTTTAGGTAATGTTTTTTCTCACTTGTAACATGTGAGTTTTTGTTCCCCCTTCCTCTTCAATCTGTCATTCTGTCCTTATGAAAGACTGATTGAAATATATATATCTGATAC